GTCCCTGGCCAAGAACCGGTTAACTAGTGTCAAACTATGCTCAAGATTTCTTGAAAACATATTTGTCTTTCAGGCAAACAATACTGTTAAAGTAATGCGAATGCTTCGCTTTAAAAATGTGCTTTTTCAATTCACAGAGAACAGTAGTGTAAAAATAAATCATCCACGAAGCATATTCTGATTTTTAATTTTATCCTTTGATAGATCAGTTGCTTCGAAATCCCTTAACAACCAAGGAAAAAAAAAAGTTACAGGGTTCACATTCTAAAGATTGTCGATTGTGTAGACCAAATGTTGCTAACCCATGGAAAGATTTATGGGCAACTTCTGTCATGGCCTGAAAACACTGGATTCTATTAACATGAAGTCAGTATCTTTGTAATAGTCTACAAGGTTGGTAAGGCATTTCACTGCTTTCTCGCACCTTGCTTTTCTCTGGCAAAAACAGCTGTGATCACTCAGCAGGTCCTAAAGAACTAAGTCACAGAAAAGGAACAGATTTTATATTTCCAGGTGACAAGAATGAACAAATAACATGATTTGGGCAATCACTTAAAAGCACATTAGTGCCAATTTCACTACACTTTACACTGGATGATCAAGTTACTTTAGGACTTAAAAATTAAACAACCCAAAACCTATTTGAAGGAGGTTAGCAAGCCAAGGGCGGGGGTGGGGGGGAAGGAATCCACACTGAGTTTGAGTTTCGCAAAACCAACCTGCTTTACTGTTCAGCTACACTGAACAGTAAAGAGCAAAGTGTATTCAGCACAAGGCTCATGATTTGATCATTTGCACACTACAATTAAACCTGCATTTTTCATGGATATGCTCTGGTTTTAGGAGGTGGTGAGAGTTTGAATTTATTATTAGGAAACGAAAACATTTCACTTAATTGTTTAACATGCGAGATTTTCATGAGGGAATGAAGGTTAGTTACATTTCCAACAGGATTTCAAAACTACATTTTGCCTATTCAACTCTAAAAACTAAGCTGAATATAAGGCTGAAAGGTTTAAAAGACTAATCAAAGTAACAGAAGTCAGAAAGACAATAACAATACAGCACCTAAAAATGGGTAATTCACACATTTTTGACATTTGTGTCTTGCATAGACAAATACTTATTCATTTTTTTTCTCCCAAGACAACTCAGCTTTAGAAAATAAATCTTAAATCAACTTTAATTACAATTAAATGCATGTGTTCCAACTTTTCAAAATACCAGGGTGTTTTGGGTTTTTGTTTGTTTAAGTGCTACAAGTTTTACGGTTTTATGAAACTATCATCCCTTGAAAAGGCTTTGTTTCATCTTTTGGGCTGTCAAGTTCATAAAGTCAGGAAGCTGAACTGCCTTCTAATTCGTTTTCCATGTGATTAGAGAAACAAATAGATATATTATTCATGCATTAAGTCTTTGTGGCCCTACTCCACCAGAACATCCATAAACCTGAAGCTACTTTTAAAGCACAGGAACTGGGAACCCTAATTCCTCAGTGTAGGTCTGCCTTCTGGCCATATTTTGAACATCAAAACGGTATGTAGTGCACACCAGGTCAACACGAAATCCTGCCCTTCTAAGCCCTTCGTCCATACCCTGGTTTCCACTGGAAGAAAACCAAGGTATGTAGGCAAGATAAAGGTGGAGGGCTCTCCAAAAGGTTCCTAACAGTGATCTGGCACCAGAACAAGGAACCAATTCTCTCGCAAGTAAATGCAGCCTGACATGCAGCCTTATGGAGTTTCCCTGAGGTCAGCAGGACTCCTCTTTGACCCAATCCCAGATCTAGGAAACTCTCTGCAGAGCCAGAGCCATGCCTGTCGATTCTAAATGTTTTCCAACATGATTATTTCTTTGGAACAGTCATTTAAAAATATATCCTGATCAATTTGGAATTGATTTACTAAAATGCAATGTTTCTAAAGTTAAAGAACAACAGGAAATTGCCTTGCTGCCTGTTACACAAATCTTGGAAAAATTGGACTGAGAACCCTGTTTTGGGTTAATGATCTAAATTACATTGACAAAAATTTAAAAGTTTCAATAATCATAATTGCAGAAGAACTACAGTGATTTTAAAAACAAATTAGTTCTATTGCATATGAACTTGACTTTAATTGGGGGCGGGGGGGGGAATTATACATGGGTTTAAAGTTAGGTCCCCTATGAATACTTTTTAACTAAAGTAAACATGTACCTTTCCTGAATAGTGATGCTTTGCTTAAACCAGCAATCTTTCGTACACAGCAAAAAAGGAAAGATACTATTCTCTTTTTTTTTTTTCAAATCGTGAAAAGAACAAACACTTCTGTGCAGTTCATACCCACTACAGAGTTCTCACTGAATTAAAAGATAAGGTGTGAGTTCCGTATGTTAAACAATACCTTTGATTACGTTGGTAAAGCCTTTTCAGTTTTAGCAATTCACGTCCCTATGTTTTTATGTTTCTAATTTGATAGTAAAACTATTCCATATTCCCCCTTTCACAGTAAATTCTGTCAACTTCACTTCCCAAGTATCGATAGACTAGCTGAAGACAAGGTCGCAAATGTTTCAGAAGAATGAAACTTCGGCTGCACCTAAGGTGGAGGGAGTAAAAAAAGCTAACCAGGTAACGGTTTCTTTCTGAAAAATAAACTTTCAGAAGTCTGCAAACCCTGATGCCTGGTTGTTTCCAATTGAGTTCCAAGTGGCACATAAACTACATTTTCCTGAATCCTCTTCCAGCCAGCTGTATAGATATTAAATTGTTTTAATACTCTCTCTCTTTTTAAGATCTCAGTTCTCATAGTTTTGAAGTGTGGGCAAATGCCCATTGCCACATTATCTCCAACCACAGAAGTTTTTTGCCCATTTTAGCTTAACCTTTCCTTCACTGCTGGCTACTTGCTACCCCAACAGATCTCCCGCTGAGCTGCTTCCTAGACTATCTCAAAGCAGGCTGGGGAAAGCTCTGCTGGTAGATCTGAGGCAGCAACAACTGGTCAGGGAGGGAAAGGAGATCGTGAGAAATGCCCTGTTCCTCCAGCATAGGTTGATTTGGAAAAATACGCATTTGTCCATAAGCCTGTACACACTGAGAAGTAGACTATTCATCTGCCTACGTGCTAGAAGTACAAGGATTAACGCACTATTAAATATGAACAAGGGTAGCTGAATAAAAACCCCAAACAAACCAACAAATAAAACCTACTATATAATGGAAACTGGGGGGGTGATGAAGCACTTATGGAGTTAAATCAAAAACAAAAGAAAAATACAAAATCTGTGTCTCGGTTCTAGTCATCTCAGGTATCCTTTGTAGGAGCAGTAGGTTGAATGTTTCCAAAGGAGCATAATTTGTACACGGTATCTGTCTTTTTAAGTGTTTTGGGGTCAAACTGGATTTGACAATAGCCTTTGAGACAGTTATGCTATGTCAAAGCTTTCGTAATTGAATCTTTCATTATTCATTTACTATGCTCTTTAACAAAAATGGCACATTAGTGGCAAAGCAGAGAAGTTAGAAGAAAACAAATTCTTTAGAAATTACCACTCCAGCTGGAGTAGATCATTACAGCATTTGAACTAAGAAGCAAGATCCTCAGCCAGGAACAAGGGAAAGCCATAGCAGAAACATCGTTTGTGCTGAGTAAAACCCAACGCCAATTCTTCAAACTAGCTACTAGTCATTGAAAACTAGTATTATTTTCCATGTATGTATGCCAATGCTACTGACATTTCTTTCTGAAGTTTTTCTTCATACCAACTTATACTTGCCTTGGAAGACAATCTTTAAAGACCAGCTTCCAACCATTTAAGCATGTCAAAAAGTACACGCGTTAATCCTACTGAAATCAATGTGACCTAAGCACATGCCTGAGTGTTCTGTGAAGCAGAAATTAAGTATTCAACTAAATATTTGCATCTGTCAAAGGACTTTGTTCAAATACAATGTCTAAAGATTCTAAAAGCTAACATCTTTTTCCCTGTCACGTTAGAAATGTGATTTGGTCTAAATCAGAAGGAAGTTCTGGCTTTGATCTAACCCAACGTTGTGACAAATGGACAGGGGGAAAAGAGGACATTGATCTTACCATGAGACTCTTGGAGTCTGTTATTTGTACTTAACAATGGGAAATACAAAAGTTCCAAAAGCAAGTGTTCATGGATAGACAGACTCCAAACTTTGGGAAAAAAAGAAATTAACTGTTACCACAAAAAAAAAAAAAAAGCATTTTCATCACTAGCTCTTAGTTTTTAAATGACACACATGGATTTTCTACTCTAATAAAGCCTGCTGTATATTCTGGTAGTAACCTTCAGATTTGAAGAAATTTTATGTAAATCCGTAAGTTATATTTCTTTTTGTATTAGGGGAAAATATTTCAAATGCAATAAAATAGCAGAGTGATAGCAGAATTCATGACTATACAGTAGGCAACTTTTCATTTTTCAGATTCAGTTGTACAAACTATAAACTGTTAAATTTCTCTAATAACTGGAAAAGTTGTGGGTATTTGAATTTACTTACCTGAATACTCATTTAGCAAATATCTTCAGATACAATTCTAGATACAGAGTTAATGTAATTTGAATATTAGTTTACACATAATATAAATCAATGTTTGACAATATCAAAATCCCATCAAACAGTGGGCCCTTCTTATGCTATTATCAAATATAGTATATCACTGTGGGATAGCTGAGAATCATAGAATGCTAGCGTAGGCTTGTTTATTAAATTTGGTCAGTTTTCAGACCTTCCAAATAGGAATACTAAACATTTATTTTTCCCCTCTGGAAATTTTTTTTTTTTTTTTTTTTTTTTCCCCCTCCTGCTTAATACAGTCGTCATCCCAATTCCTAGTGAATTTATAAAAATATTTTTTTATCCAATAACCCCGGCAAGGTAAAAATAGGAGTTTTTATAGCAAATGATAAACAGGCTCACGGACTATGAGAGAAACTAAACTTATTTAAAATTGCCATACATTCGCTACTGAATCACACATCAACATTTTCTTTTTATGTGTGTTGCTGTCCACCTCAGACTAGCAGTTTTTAAGGTGCAGAAGCATCTTTCAAATATATGCATCTAACTTAATGATCAAGTTCCACACACTAGTGTCACATGCTTCAAATTTACATCACCTGCCCATCAAGAGCTGTGTTAAATAACAGCACTAATTGAAACTGCATAATTCTTTAGAAATTGCAGCACTTCCAATTCATGGAACAAAGGGGTGCTTATGTGGTTCTTTATATTACTAGATATAATTTTCTGAAATAAGAAAAGAAATGAAAAAACACATTTGAAAGAAGTTACTGCACCTGCAAAAACACTCTTTAAGCTTACTATGAAATACAAAAAAGTGCACCCTTCTATATCTACATATAAAACATATTAGAAATAAAACTTGTGTAAAATGTTTGCTGTGCAAACTATAAAAACAGTCAGTCAGTCCATTCTTTTTCCTAAACATTTTGTCACACTCTCTTGCTTCCTACTGCAGAGAATCGCTGTTATCCAAGACCAGACCACTGATATTTGTTGTTGAGAGATCTCCTCCATCATCTTCACCGCTGTCTACTGACTCATCCTCACTTTGCCCTGCCATCATAACTTGCTGAACAGCCAAAGTAGCACCATCAGATGACAAAGACTGGAGACTGTCTACATTCATGTTGACTGGAGCTGTAATTGTGACAACAGCACCTGGAGAAGCACAATCGTAGTACTTTAGCAACTTTCTTGGTTTCTAATTTTAAGTAATACATATTTATACATAACAGAGTTTGTTTCTAATCAACAGGAAGAAAACCTAAGGAACTCATTTAAAATAAAAGCTACATAGGCTGTCAAACACTTAAATATCAGGAAATGCCAGAATTAAGTTGGCCAGGAATCTTAAATTTAGCTTTGTTATGGACACCCCTTACAGCAATTCTCGAATCAAGTCATCACAAGACCATTTCTGCAAAGTATTCCAGCTTAATTCATTGCAAAAAAAAAGGGAGTGTTCATAGAGATTCAAAGTGACTTAAATGGATGTTGTCAGATCCAGTGGAGGCTAAGGGAAAAGTTGCTACAAACTGGAAAGGAATAAAGCAGCAGGCAGCAGGACAGAAAGGATGGTCCTGAGATTAAAGCAGTTATTATCTTTCTTAAATTGAGTCTATTTGTTTGATCTGATGCTAAGGAAGTTACTTCACTCAAAGTCTTTGGAAGCTCTATTACATTTCTCTGCTTCTCAATGTTCAACTTGAAACACATGAGGCATATATAGAATTGCAGATGCTCAGTCCCTCTAGCAATAATGAAAGGAACGTGAACAGGATGGGGAGTCATGAAACTGAAATTGCAGTCCAATACTGCTAATCAGATAGAATGCTACTGACATGCATACACATACTGAGAGAACTTAGTTGCACATCTAACCTTTGTTCTGCTGTTTCATAACTTTTGAAACAAAAGCAAGAGCCTCTCAACATAAATTCCAACAGAATACCCCGCCAAAACACAGAAAATTTTTAAAGATGGAAAAATTGACACATTTGTTATGTTTTTCCAGATTAAAAACATATTTATACTGAAATATCAAGAAGTACCCCTCCCGCCGAAAGGCATGAAAACCCTTCATTTCCCTGTTACAGAGGAACTAACTTTATTATCTGTGGTTTAGCCAGTTCTCCTTACCATCTGACATCGTGAGCTCGTTAGATTGCTGCTGAGCAACTCCTGAGGCAATGGAGTCAGGCCAGAACCTCTGAACCGGTCGGTTCTGAGCTGTTTTCTTCTTTGTTTTTGGAGTTTCAGAACAACTGGAATCCAGCATTGGCTGAAGAATTCGCCTTCTAGCATTGATAAACCTAAACACAATCAAAGGCAAGAAGTACTTATGACCAGTTGGCTATAAATTCTCTCTCTCTCTCAGATTCACAATGATGCAGTGGGGAAAAAAAAAAAATTAGGAATATAAAATCTTCCCCCTACCAGCTTCGCTTGACATTCTTTTTAATGTGTAAAACTGCTCCTAGAACACTGGCATCCTTTGATTTTGGCAAACTAGCTAAGAAAGTACTTCTATCATTTTGCTGCTAGCAGCAATTTTTCCCCCACCTCAGAAGGGGAAATTCTCCAGACAGCATGACAGATGTACATTTCAAGATCTTATTAAAAACTAAGCACCAGAAAACCTGCTGACATCACAGCTCACAAAGCTGATACTCCTCTCATTAGGGTTCACCTAAAACCTAGCCCGTGCCTAACCTAGTTTGTTTGGTCTGGCTTCATTTACTTCCTTAAGCTCCTGCATTACTTATTTTATAAGCTCCCTGGCTTTCCAGGGTCTGGTTCCTGATCCAGGAGACAATAGCATACACATTTTTCAGATGTTTCCCAATTCCTTTTCGTTCCCTGATTTTCACTTATTTACTTTAGCATGCTAATTGCTGCCCTTCCCCTTTCTGCTAGTGAACAAGAAACTCAAACCATGTCTCACTCAGCTACCAACAGTTAACTGAATCAGTTTCAACGTAGCTAGCTGCGGCAATGAGCTGTGACTGAGGATAGCATCCCTTGCTAAACCTGACAAAACACATCCAGGACCCATCTTTACCTGCAATGGAAGGAAGTAGGGTGCAGCTGGCAGGTCCACATGGTGTAATGCAATGCTTTGCAAAGACATTAGTCAGATCCCAGTACCACAGAGCTCCGTTACCACCACGTCACATAGGCATAGTTACACTGTTCCACTTTTGGAACGAGCGTACTGCCACTATCTTGAGTATTTCCCCACTGGACCCCTCTGCAGCCATGCAGCCAGTGTCATATTTGAAATCTGAAGAAGATCCCTGTTGGACTTAGCTGCAATAATTTTAGGAACCAATACCACAAGCAGAATAGGATGCATGTCAGCACCCTCGCTCCTCAGTTCTGCAGGGGCAGGTGTATTATCTTAAACCTCTAGTGAAGATAAGACATGCTAAAACATATTAAACCATGAACTAGAGTAGTTGAGGTACTGACACTCCCCATTTGGACATCACTGCTCAGAGGATAGCATCCTTTGATACAAGAGCAGAATGAATATCTGTTGACAGTAACTTCTTAAACATTTGCAACCATGATCCCCAGAGAACACTTTTCAGAGATTCAGGACACTAAATGCCTTTAAACTTCAATTTCTTTGCTTGCAGAAGAGACATGAGAGTACTTCCATCTCTTTCAGCAATAGAACAGAATGTAATTCCTTAATGCTGCAAAATTTTCTGGGGTCCTTATATAATTTGAATGGCACAAGTATTATTATACCTTACTATAAAAATAATATGCTTATGTATCAGTGCATAATTCTTGTATTTTTATACATATTTTGTAACATATGCAGAACAGTAAGTTCAACTCCAGGTGTCCAAGTTAAACTCTTAACAATTTCTCTATGTTGTAAGCATGTGGAGACAGTAACAGACATTAAGTGAAAGTTTTTGCTCTTACCAATTGTTAACCTGGAGTAGTGTCAGATTTGTTTGTGCTGCAATCTGTTTCTTCTCATCCTCTGTCGGATATGGATGCTAAATGGGACAAAAAACCAAACAAAAAAAGCATAAGCTTGTTTCATCTCCTCATCAAAAATAAGGACTCCTTTATTACAACTGATTAAAGCTGCTAGATTAAGACCATCTGACTTGTTAAAAAAACAAACTTTAGAAACCTCACAAACTTTTACAGATAAAAATCATTTAACAAAAAGTGCCTTACTACACAAAACTGATGTTATCCTTGAAAGCGTATATGATACGTTAAACTGCTGATGTGTAATTCGGAAGAAAAAGCTTCTCATGGCTGACAGTCTTTATTAAACAGCGTGATGCCTGGGCAACACAGCATGTGATAAGATCTGATTAGTTATGCTGTCTAAAGGCAATGTCATATGAGAGTACTGACAAGCATTTTCTAGTTCAATAAAGCTACTCTGAACTAAACGGATGAAGAGTGTGTACGTAACATAAGAAGCATACATGCAGTTTCTCTGTATCATTTGTCTGTTGTAAAATAGTTGTAAAAGACAAAATATCAATCAACTAAACATTGTGATATAACTTTGAGACCCATTTATCCTTTTAGGATAAGTATTCATGCAAAGGAAAGACATTCTACTGAAAGCACAAGTAGTAACACACTTGGTATGCATTAGAAGGATTGTTGGAAAGGAGATAAAGCCAGAAAATTTGAAATTCTTCTCTACAAAAAAACCCCACAAAACACAGATGGAACTATTTTTCCTTGTGCCATGAACCAGGGTGTAGAGAGCATTAAGTTCTCAACACAATGAAATGAAAAAGATCCCTTTTAACAATGTTTATTGAGATCATGAGGTACCAATGTAACATACTTATTAAAATAATAATAAAATCAACTGACATTAGACTGTGGAACTACTCCAAATGACTTCAGGGAAAACTGAACTGAGATTACACAAACGACAACAGAATAAATGCACCTTTTTTATGAAGTAAAATCATAAGAGACCACATAAAAGAGTTACATAAAAACCTGTGACTCCTGATCATGTTCAGTCCTTACCCCTATGTGCTGAAAAAGCCAAGACCTCATCACATTTGTAGCGTGCTTGGGAAGAACTCCTCTTTTATTTTTTGATGAGCCATCATCTTGATGCAAGATGCCTAGATCTTGGTTTAATTGCAACTGAAGCTGCACATATAATTTTAGAAGAAATAAGGCAGTTAACATAATAATAGCAGTATTCTGTATCAATATATGAATAACTCATTTATAGAAGGAATGAAAAGAAATTAGGCTTGAGGCATGCTGATTATAAAAAGCTACTTTATTTGCTAGGGAAGACTTACAAGAGCAGCTCTCCTACAATAGCATTCCAAAATGTCTTTATCCAGGGAAAATTCTGCATCAGATTTCTGTAGTTTTCACATTTCATGTAACTTCTGTTTTAAGAATTACAGCTGTTATCAGGCTGTGTATATGATCTTGTGACAACAGCCAAATGCTGATTTACTATAGAATAGAATAAAATCCACCTATGTAGCACGTCAGGTTAATGATCCTCTGTACTAATCTACACTACCCTAGGGATCTGATTGCCTTGTCACCCTGTGTAGTCACTTGCACATGTGAAGAGCAACTGAAAAACACAATGCCGAAGATACTCACTGTGTGCAAACATAAACAACTATGGAAGCTGTAAAATAGTACTGATTTAAGACTTAAACGAAGGACTTAAAGTAAAATTAATTATTATGCTAGAGTTGCAAACAAAGATGCTAAAGGTCCTGCTAAATAAATGCATCTAAATTCTCAAAAAGCAAGAAAATATATACGGTAGAACCCTTTATTCACTTTATAAGACTCTTACTATTTTCTTAAAGGTTCATATTTATTTCTCACTTTTGCTTTCTCTTTCACTTCCTATGGATGCATCAAATCATTTGTACATGGGTTATCTGAACATTAGGGAATACATTTTTAGATGCTTACACAGAGATAAGAAGAAACAGCATATAAATTGCATATGAGATTATATTTCAGACAATTATAACTCAAATAATTCTAAATCAGGTTTTTTTAGACAATAGGGTGCTATTTCTTCAAGCCAGTCATTATGTCTATGTCCTGTATGAAACAAGTTTTAGATGAGGTTTAAGCTATCAAATTACAACAAATATGTATTTGGAGCATACTTTTATTTCCAAAATAATGTTTTACATTCTAAATAATCCGCCTGTATACGGAGGCCTCATAATGAACTTTCAATAGCTCTCTCCCAGTATTTTTCCCTTAACTCCACAGCATTCTGAAACACTGAAAAAGAAGAATTTGAAGAAGGATTTCCTATGGGTGACAAGGAATACAGGTCCAAACCTATGTATAGGTGGGTTCGGAGATTCCTATTAACATCAAGGGTCGTCACAGATATATACAGAAGGTCAAGTTCTTTTTTTGTTTATTTTTTCATCAGAGGTATAAAAAGCATTTTTGTTCAAGAACACTTCAGTTTAGGAGAGTAATTTTACACATTTCTTTCTGAAAGGTATCTGAGGACAGAACTGCATGCGTTCTAGGGAAGAATATGGGCAAGTACATATATGTTACTGCCAATAAAAAGAAGATAAGAATACTCTAAGCATACTTTTCCAGTTGGAAGGTCAGAAGAAGGAAGAAGAGAAGACAGTGAGTCAGTGACTACCAACAGATGGAGATGGTAGCTCCTCATTCACATTTTTAATTGACTCTGGATTCCTGGAAGATTTGATTTACCACTTCCCACTCCAAGAGAAAGCTAGAAAGGTTTTCCGTAACTGAAGATGGTCTAGTTTTCATGATTCCTTTTCCTTAGTTGTTTCTTTGAGTTCTCCAGATCCAACTCTTAAAAGCCTCCCAAAAAAAGAGTGCTGGCCCTTATTTTTTAGGGTATAATATAATGAGCCCAATGTGTGGATCTCCCATAGTCTCAACTGAGTATTTTGAAGGTTTTATGGCAAAATGCTTCTCAACATACATAAATTCTGAAATACATGCAGTTTCACAGTACTAGTGGTTGCCATCATGATAAAAAGTCAAATTTCTGACAACAGCAGTGGGGCACTATAATGCAATATAGTAAATCTATCCAGCCATAAACCTAGTTCAACAATTAGAAAAGTTTTAATCATTGAAAAAATGTCTATTTGATTCAGAGGATTTTTTGATTTGGTTTGGTGGGTGTTGGTTTGTTTGTTTGTAGGGTTTGGGTTTTGTTTTTTTTTTTAAATCCATGTACCTATACTTTTCTGCCATCAGTAAAAAAAAAGATATTTAACAGGTAGGAACGATGATGACCTGTCGTGCCAAGGGAGATCTGTCTAGGACCTTATGCCATGTTATACAACTTGTAACTCCTATAGCAGTGCTTGCATTAATTTTACATTAGTAACTACGTGTGTGTACACAGAGCTCACTCTGACAGCGTGTCAAATTTAAACCAAAACTATTAAAACCAGTGAGATTTATTTGAACCCAGAATACTATTCTGTGAAGCCCATGAAACAAACCTGAGAGTTCTGGATACGAATAGTCCCAGGTGACAGTGCCTGTGTCACCACTTGACCTTGTGGAGTGACCACAGTGACTGGCTGATACACTGTCCCCCCTTAAAACAAAACATCAACAAAAATTATAGGTAAGTGAAAGCCCTTCAAATATTATTCTCTTTAAACACACAAACACATCAGCACTGCAGACCATGCAACAGTTTTGACAATATATCAACTATTCTTTTCTAGTAAGTATGTAAGATGTGCTCTTTGCTACACTAAAATTTTTTCATCCACAAAAACTTGTACGAAATTTGATTACATTTCCCTGTATTTTAGACATTCCAAATCTATTTTCAAAGGAAAATGCCATGACTATCAGGCTATAAAATAGTTCATAATTTTGTTTTAACTGAGCTAACTCTTCAGCCAACAAGGGTCACAACACCAAAATCACACCTATGTGTGTTGACTGGTTAGGGCAGTCAGCTGGTATTTGGGTCAACCAAGGTGACAGAACGTTGGTGAATGCATAGGGGGTCTTAGGCACCAAAGCCACAAAGCACATCTTGTGTCTTAGGATAACCTCTCTGCAAGTACATGCTGTAGGAGCAGACTGCATTGCTTTGTTGCATTTGTAGTCAAGGGTTTTTTTTCCTGTTTGTTTGTTTTAAAACCTTGCTTAGAAGCAAGATAAAACATTTCAGTTCAAATGTCATCTCCATACAATAGTAGAACAACTTGGACATCAAGGATTTCACAGACTTGTAGGTGTGGTTCCAAACTCTATAGAGCATGATTCAGCTAGCAAGTGCAATATTTTAGGTAATGCATGTTTTTGTCAAACAGAATTCTTTTTTTGAAGGAAAAAAAAAAAAAAAGAGTAAAACACTCCAGTCTCTGAAATGTCTTTTAACAAAAGTAGCATTGCACAGAAAGATGTCTTAATATTATATATACGGAACCTCCACTCACATACGCATACTCGGTACACATATAAATTAAATGAACATTCAGAAACCAGTAAGGAACTCAACTATATTATAACAACTTTTCAGGTATTAGAGTTAAAACACATTTTTAAAAGTATTCCTGTATTTTTTGTAACAACTATAAAAGAAACCAAAATGAAGAGCAAGGTGCCAGTTTTTCTTTACTGTGTCATACCTGCTACTGTTGCCATAGTTACATTTCCCTGCTGCAATGCTGATGCTGGCACCATAATCCCTTGGGGACTGAGTGTGCCTGCAATGGCACTTGGAATTTGCTAGAAAAATAAAACAATTAGTTGCTTGCATTTTTTTTAAAGGGTTGTTTTTGTTTTTTGTTTTGTTTGTTTGTTTTTTTTAAAAGGAGATAAAGCATGCTTGTGTAATTTGGCTCTAAAAATACATTTGGAGTTCAATCACAGGATTAACTTCAAAGAGAAAAAGACTTCATTAGAGGTTCATCATTACCTACATTAACTTTCTCATTATCACTAACTGTTACCTTTGAAAACCCTCATGAAAGCAACTGTTAGAAAAGACACAAAACTCTCTTGAGAAATTTTAGGGAGAGAAATGGTTCTAGGTGTACAAATACTAAGAGAAACAGTTTACAAAAGCACAAGGGGAAAAGGACTGATGACATGGACCCTTGATGCTCTTATTAGAGCATCAAAGCTTTAGAATTTTAGTTATTACCTTAATTCCTTCAATTTCAAAATAATGTATTAAGTATTCAAGATGCCCAGTACGTTTTATTCTGCTCAGGATAGTTCTTACTGAACCCTGACCATGCAAACTCTTACATATTCCTTAATGTGTATGAATAATCTCTATTGTTACCAAAAGCAAAATTCAGTCCCTCCTGTCTCTACAGAAGACTGTAACATACAAAAACCACCTTTTAAAAGTTGTTTTTGTCTGATTTTAGACTCTCCTTTTCACACTTCCAGACATCAAAACCTAAGTAAGGAGTCCAGACAGTGAAGTTTAAAAGTCATTGAGGATTTTCAGAATATGTAGTATCAGACACATTAGTAAGTCAGAGAAGGACCACCCCCTAAGACTAGATATCTAGTAGGTACTCGGATGGCAGGGCTCACTTTCCAGCGTCTAACAGCAGACGCATCAACCATAACGTGCTAACTGTTGTTAATTAACTGTTGTCAATTTACTACAAAAAATTGCATTTAGGTAATGCCAACAGCATATAAACTGAGGTTCACATGTATAGAAATGGGTACTGTTCATAACTACCAGTCACCCCAGGTGACATGCAATGACATACATCTCAAATATTGCAACTATAATCCATCAGACATTGTCTACTTGTTCCAGAATACAGACTGTGTATAAAAAGTGTCAGCCATCTCAATATTTTAATGAAGCAGACTAGACTAAGGAGACCTTCGTAACAAGAAATTTTTTTTTCTTCTCCTTTGTTTACTGTTTCCTAGCCTCCTTCCAACAAAATAGCAAATCCAGGCTATTCTGAGTATCTCCATTTGCTGAACTCAGGGAAAAATCATAAAAGGAAGACAGACAAAAGAAGTGACTCTGTGTTCTGGCACATTTCAACAAATTTGTCCATCAGGCAGTGGCACACAGGTGTGCACAAAAAAATACAGCTCTTTCTACTCTTCAGAATCGATTTTGAGAAAGTGAATGAAACTGCAGAAACTCTGTTTGTAAATTAATGGCAATAGAAGTGTAGTTATGACTTCCTAAGGAAATCTAAGCAAAAATACACTTAACTGTATTTGAAACATACCTGAGATTGCACAGGTGAATAAGGACTTCCAGGCTCTCCACTTAATAGAGTTTCACTGTTCATTTTTGTCTTCAGGCAGGCAATGTAACGACTACAGAAATCCTTGCAGAGTTCATTAACCTTTTCTAGCTCAAGCAGATGGATACGTAGAACTTGGATTGCTTTTACCATCTGGGGAGAGATTGGGAAAAAATTTAGAAACAAAATAACTGTTAATTTAAAAAATATTTAATGTGAGATTTAAGCAAACACTACTTTCCAGTAACAAAGACCATCTGATTAAAGCAGAATTACTAATTGCTAAGTGCTGACGAGAGTTCTCTAGCTCTGACCATTATGCTCCTGAAATGTGAAAGGAACATATTTACATACAAAATCTGCATCCTTCCACTGCAGAAGTAAACTACGATACAGAGGAAACAAAACACGACAATAATATAATCTTTGTCTCTGTCACATGTGACACATTAGGTAGACAGAGCATAGTTAAGGTGTACATGGAGCACAGAATGAGCCTGCATGTCCATGTGCTCTTTCATCCCCATCATTCAACTCTGGGTCATACACCACACAAGACCGAAAGTGAAGGAAAGTAATCCTATCCACACCTGTTATTTGGAAAGCGTGGCTGGAACAGCCTTGGTAAGCAACAGTTGTCTTGAGCTACATATCAGAAATATCAGGTTCAGTTCCACATTACACCCTGACCCAAGAAAACCAAAAGTGTCCAGATGAATTTGAGATACACTGAGAAGACCCTTCTGCGACTTAGCATAAATTTGTCACACAGATTGCTAGGGAGGGCGAAAGGTACAGAAAATGCCATCTCGCCTATAATAAAAACACAATAGCTTTTATTTTTCTATAAAATTAGACTAAAGAGGTCCCGAAGTTTGTCACATTGTTCAACAAAGCTTAAAGTAATGAAACAGTTCTTCAGTCCTAGAGCTTTGAAGTTCCTCTGCAATTGTATGTCAAAGATTAACAACTCTGGGGTAAAATCGTGTAAGAACTTTCAGGCGAGGAGACTGATTCTGAAATACAAACCATTAAATACAAAGCACGAAGTCCAGTAACAAATCCATGTTTAAACAAAAATTGGAAGTATAGGAGATACGTACATGACGAGAATACTTATCATGCTTATTGCGAGAAAAAGACTTGTAAGCTTGTATAGCTAATGGTATTACATACTGCATAAAAATAGCTTAGGTGATTGTAAAGGGTCATAGCAGAAGATCAAAAGCGAAAACCAAATCCAGATGGTCTAAATTTTCATGAAGCAGTAGGAAATCCAGGACATTCAAATATGTACATAACACACTGGCAAAGTAATTACTTACTTTATTTTTTATACAGCGTGCCATTCCCCAACATTTACCTGCTATGCTAGATCGCCAGGAAAAATATCCTTCAGTTTTACGGAATGGAATAGATTATAATTTCAAAACATAGTGCAGACCTTGATTTTAGCATTATTTTGAAAAATTTGTCCTATATGACCGGTCATTTAGCTGGCCAGAGCACTAAATCCAATGACCAGAAATGATAGCTTACTAAGTAATCCACTTATTACTTCTAACTAAAGAAGCCAACTGGGAGCTGAAGTTGCCTTTCTTCAAAGCACCTGAAGGAGATGAAGGCAGGCAAACTCCTGTGTGTACTCCCCTCTCCACCATGACAACTTTAGCTTTCATTGTGACAGATCTTTTCCCTGTTTTTTCAGTAGAAGGTATTCCAGTTGTATGACACTCACCCAGTGTAGAAAATTCTATGTTAAAATAAACAAGAGAAAAAAAAATGAAGTGATAACAAAAAAGAAAATCTTACCCCTTCTCAGGGTTAAAAAGAAAAAAAAAAAACCATATATCTTTAAAAGCACAGCTGCAGAAAAATCTCAGCTATAGACTTGAGGCAGCTGATCCAAATTAAAATCTGGTAACTCTTATGACCTATGACACCAAAAGCCTTTGAAATAGTAAGTGCAATGGCCCAGCACTGAGGTATATAAAACAGCAATCTTCTAAAACAGCCCTCAGCAATGGTTGGTGTTTAAACTGTGTTTAAGTACCTTTAAACACAACCAAGTTAAACTATGCAAATTTAACTAGATTTTAGTACAAAACAAAGGTCATCTATGTCTAAAAATATTCTGCTCCTTTCAGAATTATTAACGATTGTTCTGTAATACTGCAATAGCCGAAGAGTTTCAGAGACAAAAAAACTTAAATTATAAAATCCTTCATGTGTGGCAGACCAACACAGAGCACATATATTAGTGAATGCCTTAAACATTCAGCTAACATTCAACAAAAATATGCCTTTGGGCATATAATATTTGACTGTATTAGTGATTAGCTTTGCTCAGTCAGGAGGTTTTTTTTTCTTAAACCATTACCCATATTTATATTACTTATTTATCAGCATTTGTTTGGAGGAAAAATAAAAGTTCTTTCTTCAGCTTAGATTCAGTTTCAAATTCATGGTTGACACTTGAAGTGAAAATTGAATTAAAGTCAAAATTAACCATAAACCAAGAATTAGTAACACTATCCAGGTTTCTGCAGCGCCACACGCAGTCACACTACTCTTACAGGAAGCTGTGCTCTTGTGGCTAGGAAGGCAAACAAAACTTTGTAAACATGCTATGCCTGTCACCAGGACTTACTCATTTACAACTACACTACTGTGGTCATATGGCTCCTGCTCTCTTGCAGCATGGGTGGACCAAACTTAAATTTGTTGGCAGAAGTTCACTTTTTCCTTGAAACCAAAAAAAATCAAGAACTCCTGATAAAGTCACCCATGTTGAACAAAGGTAATACAAAGAAATGCTTCCGGACATATCACAGCAGCAGTAATATTTCATTCCTATGTTCTTAAAAGGTACATCTTAAAAATCTACAACAATCATGTTTTTGTTATTTAGTGCTACTGAGTAGAATATGCCACAGAACAATGAATTTTTATAACCCACTTGATTCAGCCTTTTCAGCTGTAGAAATAAACCTGGAGCACCATTTCAGAGAAATGCACAAAGACAGAAGTAACCATGAGATGTATGTGTATTGTTGAAACTGTTGCAAATAAAGATAATGGCAGAGAAAGAAAGATTATTGAAAAACTTCCAGTTCTTGCTAAAACTGCTATCCAGAGCATATTCACACATAAATATATCATATAATAAATTTGGAGAAATCTTTAGCCCTAAAAATACTTTAGATTGTGCCTGCGTCCTGTCTTTTCAGTGCCTCAAGCACATGGTGCAAAGGGCACAAAACACACTATGCACTACCTTACTCATAATCCACAGCTCACCTTGTTTATCTAAAACATATACCCACAATTTTTTTTACGGATTTCAGGGCACATAACATAAGCATACAGCAAATACATATGTGGACAACATATGTGAAAGAATTTCCATATACTGACAAGTAATCTTCTCACTCAAATGACTCTCCTATTTGCAAAAAGAACAATTAAAATACGTACATTCACAGCTCACCTACCTTCCCGAGCAAATCCTCTGGGGCAATTTAGGTCTTCAGAGGAAGAACACAAACTCTGAGAGAGGGCGTATTTTGTTTTCATTTGTTTTGATTTGATAACCTCTCTCCCCTATTTTGAGTCCCAGCTATGAGACATAGCTAGGAGAAGTATGACTAGAGGTTTATGAGACAGTTCTGCACATTACAATCATAAGAACACTTTTCAGAAATGCAATAGCATGGGTGTTCACTCAAGAATATTCAAAAAACATCAGCTGGCTTCACCACCATCACAACTTTTCCTGACACAACCGAAAATTCAATAGGATAGTCTTTGAGAAGAGGGTACTGAACCAAAAATCCTTACCCCAAACGAAACAAAAAACTCGGGGGTCTTCAAAAAAGGCAGTGTCCTGTTCAAATACAAAAGTGAGAGTATATTTAACGCTCCATGTTTTGTATTGTTTCTAGACTTGATAAAAGTGTAAGTAACCTGCTCTGACTTCACAGCTGACCCTACTTTGTGCACGAGGTTGCACTACAGACCTCTTGAGCTTGTAATCCAACCTGAATCATCTTATGGTCCTATGAATGTGGGGAAATTAAAAAAGCCACCTATATACAGGAAGAGTTTACTCTGAACAGAAGCTATACAACAGGTAGGAACCATCTTGAGGTAACATGATGGTTCTGCAGTGCCTGGGTTAACAGTAAGCAACAAAGAAGTGTTAAGTACTGAATGTCTTAAGACATAATGTAATCTGTGAAAGCTCTAAAAATTGTCTGCAAACATTCATGCCGAACAACTTCTCAGACATGGAGGAACCTGTCCATTTAAGTCCTAAGCACACAAGGATACTAATGGAGAAAAAAAAGAGAAGTTGGTTCATTGGTTCATTCCAAGATCTGTTCTATCTGTGAAAATGAGATAGAGATGTCAAAGGGTAAGGGGCAAAGGGTAAGCAGCTCCAACAGATGATACTCCATGTTATGGGGATACAGCTGAGCACACTTCCAGAAAGAAGTACATGCACTTGGGAACATCTGGCTAGCAATACAGACCACCAAGATCTGCTTCTTAACAGCAAACACATCTCTTCTGGTACTAATGCTTGATATAAGCACTAAGGTGGATGCAAAGTAACAATCCAAAAAGATAAGGAGGAAGTTAAAGCTCTAGGAAAGAAGGCACACTTTCAGTTTAGTAAGTAAAACATGAGCACAACTTTCAGCTTCTACTTCCTTCCCACAGGGACTAGGATTTGAAAAGGGGAAGTCTGCAGGACTTCTTGCAGCTAATCAGCACTTATATCAAGTTCAGAGAAGATCAATGGAGACACGGACAGCATAAGTGACAAAGAATCAGAAAAGAGAACAAAACCGTTGAAAATCAGAAGATCCCTGTAGGACACATTCCAAAATAAAGGATAATTCTGGCTCCAATAATATACTGTGCCATGCATATCTATGAGAGCTAAATACTTACTGCAAAAAAAAAATTTACCTTGTACCTCTCTCTTTTACCTCCCTGAATAGTCTAACCTGTGTGGTCAGAGCCAGTGAAGTTGGAAGGGAAAAGCTTCAAAGTTCTGTTTCCGGCCAATAGTTCCTAAAGAGCAAACATGTAACTACCACAGAAAAGCCACTTTCTTTGTGTATTTATTAGGGATGGACTGGAAC